CAAATTAATTTGGACAGTTAACTGATCAGACGCTGCAGCCAAGGCGGGGCTGCCCTGTGCACGTGGGAGTGTTGGTGCCACAGGGTGACAGGGGGGCTCCCGAGGGCCCCGGAGAGGGGCTGCGCCACCTAGGGAGTGCAGCCCCTGGAGTCACAGACCCCCAGAGGCTAAACCCCTGGGGCTGATGATTCGCGGCCTGGAACAGGGCTCCAAGAATGTGCACTTCTTTATTTTTAATGAGACAGAGTCTCCCTTAGTTGTCCAGCTGGCCTCGAACCCTGGGCTCCTCCGGCCTCAGATTCCTGAGCAGTTGGGACCCCGGGCACATGCCATCACACTTGGCTGGAGAATTCATATTTCCAACAAGTTCCCAAGGGCTCTGGAGTCTGCGGGGCCACTCCAGACCACACTTTAAGAGCCATAACTCTAGGTGAACTCCATTTGAAAACAGCTGAGATATAGCATATTCAAAAGTTGTGTGTGAATACCACCACTAGAAAATTCTAGATGACTTCATTACCCCCCATAGAAACCCAGTGCCCAGTTGACGTTGCTCACCCCCTGGCCTTCAGAAACCACTAACTTATTTCTGGCCCCATTGATTGGACTGGCCTGGGCATTCCATTGAAATGGCTTCGTAACATGTGGCCTTCAGCATCCGGCTTCTGTCACTTCACAGTGTTTCCAACATTAGTGTTTATAGCAGCTAAACTATGGAACCAACCTAGGTGCCCTTCAACAGATAAATGGATAAATAAAATGTGGTATATATATACACAATGGAGTATTACTCAGCCATAAAGAAGAATGAAATGATGGCATTTGCTGGTAAATGGATGCTAAGTGAAATAAGCCAATCCCCCAGAACCAAAGGCCAACGTTTTCTCTGATATGTAGATGCCAATTCACAATAAGGGTGGTGCTGGGAAAGAATAGAGGGGCTTTGGATTAGGTAGAGAGGAGTGAAAGGAGGGGAGGGGGAAGGGGGGTAGGAAGAAAAGTAGAATGAATTGGACATTAACACCCTGTGTGTATCTATGATGACATGACTGGCAGGACTCCACATCACGTACAACCAGAAGAATGAGAAGTGATACTCCATTTACGTATGATGTATCAAAATGCATTCTACTGTCATGTATTAGAACAAATAGAAAAAAGATCCTGAGCCCCTTCTCCACGATGCCCTATTAGCTCTTTTAAAAGCTGCTCAAAGCCAAAGAGTGGAAACCAGCCACATGTCCACCCACTGGAGAATGCACCAGGCGAGGCCTACCCAGTGTAAGGGAGTATTATGCAGCTATAGAGGGACAGAAGTAAACAGGTGCTCCAACATGGGAACACCTGGAACAGGCCAAGTGAAAGTTGTCATTCACAAAATGCCACATATCACGTGATTCGTTTATATGGAATGTTCAGAAGAGGTAAGTCCAGGGAGACAGGAAGTCGATTAGTAGCTGCAGGGCCTGGGGGCAAGGACAGTAACTGCTCATGGTTATGGGGTTTCTCTGGGGGATGATAAAAATGTCCTAAAATTGATTGTGGAGGTGGTGGCGTGACTTGGTGAATACACTAGGAGCCACTGGATTGGGCACTTGAAAGGGATGAATGTGACCCCAAGTGAATACCATCTCAGCACAGCCACCTCGTGGACACGTAGAGATGCTCGGCCACCGTGGGAGCTGGCTGGTTCCTGACCTGAGCCCGCATTCGTGCTCGGTGATTGACAGGATGCCTCTTTGGAATCCTGGCCTTGACTTACAGGGTCAGGAGGTGCTCAATCTGTGGTGGCTCCCACGACCAGGGCAGGACTGATCCAGGATCCCACCATAAGAACTCTGGGGCCCGGGCCATGCGGAGCCCGAGTGGAGCCACCAGGAGCCGCAGCATCAGCAGGCTCCCTGGTTTTTCCAGCTGAGAGGGAGCGGGGAATCATTGAGGGCCATTTCTGCAGTGCCAGCTTCCTGGGCTCAGAAGGACCCAAGACCCCCTCCTCCTGGCCAGCACGGCGCTCAAGAGCCATCCAGAGCTGAGGAGAGGGGGAGAGGGAATCTACTGAGCACCTACTGTGCACGCAGCGGTGTGCAGCGACCGCGGCTACATCTTCACATCCACTGTCCAGGTCAACCCAGACCCTGGGGGCATCAGCCGACTTGTGGATGAGGGACAGAGGTTCAGGGAGGTGACGCCGCTGGCCCAGGGTCACTCAGGGGTGAGAGGCAGAATTAGGATTCAAATCCAGGACCTGGGGCCTGGAGTCTGTCCCCGCCGGTCCCTGGCAGCACAGGAGAGCTGACATGGGTCTGGCCATGGCCCATCCCTCGATCCCTCGATGCTGCACGGGTTCCCAGCTGGCCCCGAGGACTTCCCACGGCCCGGCCCTGGTTTTCCTTCCCTGGTCCTGTGATGCCTTCTGAGGACCCAACCTGGGAGACTCAGTCCTACCCACCCTGAGGATGCTCCATGTCCCCGGCCACTGTGCAGTGGATAAGCCATGAGCTACGATGGGCGTGAGAAGTCCTGCCACTGGACACGTGGGATTTCCCTGGCCTGGGGTCTCGCTAGCTGGCTCTGGCTTCCTGTGCTTCGCTGCCTGTGCTGGGGTCCCCGTCCCCTGGCTGCCACTGGCACCTGAACCAGTCTCAGCCGGCTCAGGCAGCAACTCTGCCCCTGCCCCCTGCTCAGCACACGGAGAAGGACAGGAGGAAGATATGACCTGCGGTCTCCAAGGACACACCTGGAATCCCATCTGGGGGGACAGGGGAGCTGTCCCTGGGACCCAGGAAGCCAGGCCTGTTCCGAGGGCAGAGAGTCGGCATGGCCAGGGAGTTCCCTGCACTCGGCTCACTGAAGAGCCAGGCCCAGGGGAACTTCTGGATCCTCTGGTTTGAGGAAGAAGGTGGGTCAAGTCCAGCAGGAAGGGATACACTCCCCAGAGGGCGGAGAACCCGGGGAGGCCCCAGCCATGGGTTCCAGCCCTCCGGGGTCAGCTCACCCTCCACCCTGGGAAGCAGCTCATCTGAGACTCCACGGCTGTGTCCGGAGGAGCCCAGGTCCCAGGACAGGAGGTGGGAGAGGTGGCTGGTCCCGGGGCCTCCCCGCCATCCCAGTAGCTGGAGGCTTGAAGGAGTTGGAGACCAGCTGTCCTTCCACGTGTCTGCCCCGCTTTACAGAGCAGGATCTGGCCCAGGAACAGGCCTGGCCCTGGCTTTCCTGTAGACCCCGATGGGGGCTGTACTGGGGCCAGATTCAGATCAAGTGGCCGGTGGTGGGTGGTGGCTGTGGCCTCTCAACCCCACCTCTGTGAAATGGGGACACCAAGTCCCACCTCACGGAGTGCAGGACAGGTGTGCAGACCGCCCGAGAGCAGCCGGCCCTGGCCCAGCCCTGTAGTCTGCCAGTTTCCTGGAGTGACGCTGCATCTCGATGGCTGTGACAACAGCTGTCCTTGGCACTGGTGTCCAGGCCCCAAGGGACACAAGCTCCTTTGGGTGCTGAGGGTTGAGTGCCTTCAGTCAGCCCTATGTACTCAGCAGAGGGACCTGCTGCCCGCAGGACTGCCAGGGCTGCCAGGGTGGCACACAAGGACACGTCTGCACCTGTCAGGAACTCAGGCCCGTCCTGCTTTAGTGACCCTTGAGTCAGTCCTCGGGGTGGACATGCTGCCCCCCGACCCAGGACCCTGCCATGTGGAAATACTCCCTCACCTGGTGACTCCATAGGGGACCCAGGATCTGGAGACCACGACCTCATGTAGGGCTCAGTGTCCAGATGGCCCCAGGGCCAACAGCCACCCAAGTCCAGTGTGGCCTTGCTCCCACCAGACCAGGCGGGTAAGCAGGGCTCCCGGGCAGGTGTGTTGACGTGCCAGGATGCACAGGGGTGGGCTTAGACGCCAGTCCCCTTGCCTGGCCAGCACAGGGGGGCCTTGGGAGGCTAAACCCCAGTGCCAGACTCCTCTGGGAAAGGCTGGGAGGTGCTGACCGGGGACAGCAGTTCCTAACTCAGCTGGTCCCAGGAATCACCTGGAAAAGCATTGACAATGAGGATCCCAGGCCCTGCTCCAATCCCTGAAATGCACCAGTTCCGAGCTGGCCCTGGGCTTTGGGAAGAGCCTGCCGGTGGCTACGAGGGGCAGGTCCTGAGCCTCCAGTCCAGGAACTCCAGGGAAACCCCGGGACCCAGCGGAGCCCGTATCTTCAAGCCGCAGCCGGGGGCAGAGTGACAGCCTGACCGGCTCGGGCCGACTACGTGGAGACAGGAGCATTTCCCCAAAGATGGGGCAGGGCAGCCCCCGTGCCCCCAGAGCCCCTCCTGAATCAGAATTCTTTTCAGGAAAAAAACATCAAGTTCTGGCTTTGAAAGTTCTGGAATTCTGCTGCCTCTGAGGATGGCAGACACCAAGACAGAACCCCCAAAACAGGCCCCCAGAGCTCAGGCCTCGTTCCCCCTCACAGAAGGCTGGGGTAAAGTGAAGGCAAGGGGTGGGCCTGGGGTCCTCTTGCACCTCTCCTGAGTTCATCCATTCCACAGAGAGCCACTAAGCACCCACTGTGTGAAGCTCGGTGCAGCCGTGAGCAAAACAGACAAAGGCACCTGGCCCTGGAAGCTACCCTTTTAGTCAGGGAGACACACAAGAAAAATATAAAGTATCTTAAACAAGGTGGTCTGGGAAGGCCACAGCGATAGGATGTGTGTAAGCAGAGCCCTGAAGGTGGCGAGGGATGAGCCCGCGGGTAACTGGGGGTAGTTCATCCCAGCAAACTGCAGTGCAAAGGCCCTCAGGCAGCCTGGAATGGCAGCCAGGACACCAGTGTGCCACAATACAGATGACATATTCCTTGAGGATGTCCTAAGCACCCTGGTGACCCGAGGTGGCCCCTCGGCACCAGCCCTCTACCTCCCTCGGGGATCCAGGCCTCTGTGCTGGAGACCAGGGCTCGGTCCCGATGGAGCCCACGGAGGCATGGCTGGAGCACCCAGCACCCACCCAAACGTACCAGGCATGGAGAAGGGGGACAGGAAGGCAGTCTCCACCGGCTCTGGCTCCGGGGGTGGCGGCTGGGGTGGCGGCTGCTGCTCCTGGTCCTGCTGAGGGTCCTCGGGGTTTTCCACGGGGACATTCCCGTTCTCGATGTTCTCGTGTGTCCCGTTCTGAAGCGGCTTGCTGCTCACACTGTTGGCCGAGCTGATCAGTCTCTGCCGCTGTGGGCGGAAGGCAAGGCAGACACGAGCAGGTGACATGGTGTCACGCGCCTGCCCTGGTCCCTGGTCCTATGTACACCCAGCTGACAGATTTCCAGGACAGAGTCCCCAGGGTCACACTCAAGGAGTGTGCACAGGGCCTGACGGGCAGCCAGCTGGCAGAGACCATAGCAGGCCACGCAAGGAAGGACGAGGGTAATGAAAGAATAAAGACGTAGGAAGGAGGGGCTGGGCTGGGTCGACCCCCAGTTCCCCCGCAGGCTCCTTCATGACTGAGACTGCACTGGAATCTGCTGGCCCCTCTCTAGTTGGTGAATGACTTCACCCGACAGACACCCCGGAGCCATCCAGTGCCCCGGTGATGGTCGGTGGGAGGGTCAAAGCTCTAACGCAGGGAAAATGTCCAGCATCTTCCTGGCACGGAGCAGGCGCCCAGTAAATTGTGGCTACTTTTACTAGAAATGGTCAGCCTCCGGTGCAACCCTGTGGGGTGAAGGAGGCGGTGACCAGACAGGCTGGTTCACAAGAGGCAGGGGACACCAGGGGTGCGCGAACTTCTGGGCCCTTGGTAGCTCATCTCAGTGGCTTTGGCCAGGACAGAAAGTCCAGGAACAGCCTTGGAGAAAGCCCTCCTTCCCCGTGCCCTGAGTACCCAGCCTCTGCAAACAAGGACCCCCGTGTCCCCTCCCTCCGTGTCATAGGCACTGCTGCCACTGAATGATTTGAGCTTTGCAAACCTCTCTGTGACATTCTAGAATTAAAATGACAGAAGAAGAAATGAGCCCAGCGGGTCTTAATAAACAATTTTGAACTGGGCACCTGGGGTTCTATTCTCCCCCTGCCATGCCACATGGATCCTGGAAATCACGGCTTCAGCAGCAGGTGTGTCCTGCCAGTGTGTACCCCTGAATCTTCAGAGCTGGACTCCGCCTGTCCAACAGCCCAGACAGAGAAACTGAGGCCCAGGGAGATTGAGTTAGTGGCCAAGGTGAGATTAAAACTCCAGATTCCCTCCTCCCGAGCCCAGACTCTGGTCTCCACGCTGGCTAACCCCGGTACAGGGAAAGAACATTCTTCTAACCATGGGGTAGGATAACCAGTATTCACCAGCTCATCAAGACCTACGATGTTCCTACCGACAGAGGCCATAAAAAAATGCTACAAACCCAAATTCCCAAACTCGTTGGTTAACAGGCCCTGCAGCACACAGAGCACAGGATTCTTCAGAAAAGTGGGCAGGATTCGCTACAATGTCATCCATACAGATTTTACTCCTTTGGATCAAAATGATTCAAAGCTTGGCACAGTGTTTTCCTTTCTTAACATACTTTGCACGGAGAGGGCCACGACGTATTAAATCAAAGCACAAGTGTTGACCACAGAACCTTCGATGGCTGTGAAGGTGGCTCTGGCCCATAACCTGGGTGCTCATCACAGCCCCCGCCACTGCCTCCGAATAAGGACCTGAGTTCCCACGCGCACACAGAGCAAAGACTGCAGACGCCAGCCAGCCAGATGCCAGCCAGACACACGCCTGTTGTTTCTGAAATACTGGTTAATTAATACTTTTTAAAAACGGTTTTGCATTTATCCCTGAAGTGCCCAGGGCTGGCTTGGATGCCTGGAGGGACCCTTTGCTGCCTGTGGATGATTCGGGCCTCTGGAGGCCCCAGGGCTGCCCTGTCACTGTCCCGGTCCAGGGGGACTCACCTCATTGATGATGATCCTGCTGGCCATGCGTAGCCGGGTCCTGGGCCCAAACTTGTTGGTGATCATGATGCGCAGGCCCGCCTCGGGGAAGTTGAACTTGGGGGGGCTGGAGCTCAGGATCTCGTCCACCATCACCACGGGGTTCTTGCCGTACTGCGGCTTCTCCTTCACTATGGACACAACGCCAGGGTGAGTGCTGACCTCCCAGAGGACGGCAGCCAGGTGCCGGGGCCACGGACTCCCTCTTGCCCCGAGGGCTTCCTGGGGCTGGGGTCCGGCACCTGGAAGTCTGGGGGCCTGGCTGCAGCTCCTCCCATTAGTCAAGGTGGGCCACTGATTCCCAAAGAGCCACCTGGCATGTTTGACGGCGCCCAGCGGGGCCTGCAGAGGCGGCTCTTGGGCAGTCCTCTGCATCTGGCCCCTTCATCCATGGATGTCCATCTCCCTGTCCTCTGGGGCCAGCCTGGGGCAAGTGCAAGGGTCTTTCAGGCCCCACTAAGCCTCACCAGGGACGTCCACCTGCAGTAGACAGGTCCCAGAGCCTGTCTACTTTCCTTTCTTAACATACTTTGCACGGAGAGGGCCCTGACTTATAAAATCAAAGCACAAGTGCTGACCACAGAACCTTCGATGGCTGTGAAGGTGGCTCTGGCCTATAACCTGGGTGCTCATCACAGCCCCCACCATAACTGTGGCAGGGCCTTCCTCCCCTGTCTTCTCCCTGCTCGGGTGAAACTTTACAGACTGGCAGGGACGCTTCTAACCTTGTTTCCCACAGGGAAGCTGCGAAGTCGAGGATGGGGATCCCGGACCCTGGACCCGGCCCAGAGGCTAGTGAGAGGAGCTGCTGGCCAGCCCAGTGTCTCGGGCGAACCCTACATGCCCTCTCTTTCTCCGGCCCTTTCCTTCCACTCAGGGGCTGACCAGAGCTCCCCAGACCTGGGCTTGTCCCTTGATACCTTCTCAGATATGCTCGGTGCCAGTATCCTGGGGGATAGACCCTGGGCTCCAGATCCCTGGGAGGGCCTAGTAACCCAGCCGCTCATGAGCACAGCACGTGGAAGAAGCCCGCACTGTCCCCTCTGAGGGGCTATGAAAATGGGCAGCTGTCACGCTGCACCAGGTGACATGATCCCACCATGTCCTTCACGAGTGACAGGGTAACCAGGGGGCAGGTCCAGGAAGCACCGTCTTGCAGGAGTTAATAGCACAGAAACGCACAACCCTCCCCACACACACCATGCACACGCACACACAGAGGCAGCAAGGCTCAGCAGACAGGAGGCGTGTGGTTAGAAATCAGCCGGAGGCCCGTCGGGGTGCCACGGACACTGACCTCCAAGAGGCGTGTAACGTGGTTTTACTAGTTGTTTAGATGCACGTGTTACTGGGGGGTGACAGCGGGTTACTTACAGTTCAGGAGAGTTAGGGAGCAGAGGCCAACAGATTGGCAGAGGTGATTAGCGTGCGTGGAGCCTGGGGCGGCATCTTGATGGTGGCGGAGATGCCAGGGGGTTATTTGAAGGAAGGTGTTAGTAGCAGGCTCCCTCCACGGGGACCCTCGATCTTGGGGCTGCCATCTCAGAGGCAGGGGCCACCACAGAACACCGCTGGCTCCGGGCTCCCTGCTGCAGAAGCAGCCCCGCCCCAGGCACCACTTGGGGAGGGATGGGACTCAGAAGGAGGGAGACTATGGAGCTTCATGAGGCAGGAGCCATGACCCCTGCTTCCTGGGACACTTTGTCCTGGTGCCACCCATCAAGTGAGAGCATGCCGTGGCATGGCCAAGTTGCCCCAAAGGTGACTTCATTATAGCCTGTTTTCTTGGCCGTTCAGAAGCACAGGTATCGCCCCTCCCCTCCTGCTCCAAGCCCAAGTTGTGCCCAGGGCCAGGGCAGCCTGGAAGGTCCCCTTGTGAGTTCTCTGAGCAGGCTGGCTTGCTATGGCATGGCAGCCGATGGGCAGGTGGCCCTGGCTGTCAGGCTGTGAGCAAGGTCACCTGAAAACCAGCCAGGACACTGATCCACTAGGCTGAACTAGGACCCCCGAAAACACTCAAGTGCATAAAGGTGTTTGCAAGAGTGGCGGGGAAAAGGTCCCCCACGAGGCTGGGTTTTTAAAGTTTTTGATTTTACGTGGGAAACACTCCTCTGAGAAGAGCCAAGTCAGGGTTGAGAGGGCAGGGGCTTGCTTGCTTGCTGCGGGGCTGGGGATGGAATCCAGGCTGGGGATGGAATCTCCCACTGCGAACAAGGGGTGCCTCTCACAGGGCACGGGGGGCGGCCTACACTGCCAGCCTCAGGGACTGTAGGCAGTTCTGGGGACTGGCACCTTGCACGCACTAGCCCATGCTCTACCACGGAGCTGCATCCCAGGCCAAGAGGGCTTCCTGAGAGAATCCACCAGCTGGTGGTCCTTGGAATCCTCGGTCGCCCTGTGGTCACCGGGGGCTCCCACCCCCGGTTTGGTCAGGTCTATTCAGGGGACAGCGCACAGTGGCACCCCACACAGGGTCCTCGGGGAGCCTTTCATGGGCAGCAAAGACTCAGGCTAAGACACCCCAGGGTCTACGTCTCCAGCTCCAGGAGTGCAGGCCTGCGCCTTGGACCCCCACCTCCGGGACCTCATGCCTTGCCCTTACTGATGGCCAGAGCGAGACCTGGTCCTCCCTGCTCCCCAGGGATTGAGGGCAGACTCATGAACAGTCTCCAATTTTCTAGAAATTACCCTGGACTTAGAGAGACTTGGGGGAGATAAAATTATGGGGAAGCCCTTCTGCTGCAGACACAGAAGTGGTCAAGACGTCATGGCTGAGCTCCCAGAGGTGCCACGTGTGGGGGTGACAGATCTCCTGGGAGGTGAGAAGCTGAATTCTCCCACTGCAAACAAGGGTGCCTCTCACAGGGCATGGGGGGCAGCCTACTCTGCCAGCCCCCGGGACGGTAGGCAGCTCTGGGGACTGGCACCTGGGGAAGTGGGCATGTTCTGCTGGTCTGAGTGACCCTCCATGTGGTGCTTTTCTTCTTTGCCAAGAAGGTCCAGGGGACCAGGAATCAATCACCATGTATATGCTGGGCAGGGGCCAGCCTCTGTCCCACCAGACCTTGGGACCTGTGATGGGCAGCTCAGAGCCACTGTGACGGTGGAGCTGAAATCCCCAACAGTGGCCAACATGGTCCTGCCCCTCTGAGGACATGTCTGTGAGATGGGCTCCCCCTGGGACATCCTCTGGGCATTCATGAAACACCCACGGAGAGGGAGGGGCAGACCCTCGGGTGGGCAGGGCTCTGGTGCCGGGCTAAGGCGGCCTTCAACACCCAGGGGCAACCACAGGGGGCTGCTGAGCTCTTGCCTCTCCAGATACTAATGGTGACAACCATCAGGCTCAAATGCTGTTCTGGAGCAGGGCAGAGCGAGCTTCCGGCTGGATCCAGATGTTCAGAACCCCTACACTCCAGGAAAGAGGGGAGTCCAACCTGAGCAGAGGTGACCAGGCTGCTGTCCCGGGACCCCCTCAGGGCTCTCTAGGGCGGGCCAGGGGCCCTTTTCCCAGCCTTGCTCTTCCTCTGGGCAACGGTCCCTGGACAGACTCCTGCAGGCCTGGGCCTGGCACTGCAGAAACCCTAGGGAGGACCAGCCTCTGTCCTCGTAGCCCTCAGCTCCCTGTTACAGGCCCTGACACTGTCGGAGACACTGTGGCTCATGGGAAAAGCCAAAGCGGCCTCCACCTGCTGCCGGGAAAACTCCACGCTGTCACTCTTCACTTTCTCTTTCCTGGTACATCGTCCCTCCATCCTTCTCCCACCTACGCAGACAGACGTCTGAACCACGTCTCAAACACAGACCGTCCCTTCCCACTGAGGGTACATGTGACCAAAGGTAAAAAGGTGACCATATGGGGGGAGTGTGTGTGCGTGCGTGTGAGGAGAGAGAGTGGCTTCCATGGCCAGCTTCTGGCTCCTGTCTGCTCAGCCTTACCTTTCCTCAGCAATGGCACCGAGGGGTCATCATAGCTACCGTCATAGAAGTCATTACCATCTTCCAGCTCGTTGCTGACCGGGTTGCCGTTGGCAATGCTCTTTTGTTTGGTTGTGAAAAAGGCCTGCATCTTCACATTGTACCTGGAGGTCGGGGAGGACGGGAGGTCAGAGCAGCACAGGGACTCCCACTGACCAGGTGGGGGCATCTGCTGTGGTCAGCACAGCGCTGGCCATGGCGGGCAGCCCGGGAGGGGCTTCACCCAAACGGACAGCCATTCCCAGCAGGATCCTTGGAACAGTGTGCGGGCTGGGGGCACCTGCTCCTGTTGAGCTGGGGGCTTCCTGGCGGGTCAGAGACCTCTTGCCCAAGAAAACGACTGGGTCCTGCAGCTGGACATGACAAACGTGCCCTGATAAAGGACTTCCAGCCCAGCCCATGGGTCAGGCTCGAGAGGCACGGCCACATCTGTTCCTCTTCCCCAGCAGCGACTCCTGCTCACATGGGCTACGTCACTCGGAGGCAGCAGTGCCATCCCCCGAGAGAGGAATCCCTCACCATCCCCAGGTCCCCAGGCTGGCTCCTTGCTGAAGAGCCGCCCGAGGAGACTCCTGCAGTGTGACAGTTTATCTCCCATTCTTACAAAACACGGAGGATATTTTATATCAATGTGAGGATTCTCAAAAACCTAGAGTGTGGCCTTTCTAGAAAATGACCCATAGAGGTGAGAGGAAGAAGAGAAACCGAACAACTGTCCCCTGCTCTGATCAAAGGTGGGAGCAGGACATGGAAGGGGGTGCCCACAGCCCGAAGGAGGAGGAGGGTACTTACTTCATGATCAGAATGTAAAACCCGTACAAGACGATCAGCACCAAGCCTTCCCACCTCAGAGAGAGAGAGGAGAAGGCGCTTAGAACCCGGAGGCCATGGCCTGGGGACCCAGGGACGGGATGGCTGGGGCAGGCCAGGGAGCTGTGTGTCCTTCCCGTGCCATCCCAGGGCGCATCCCAGGACTCGGGAACACAGGTGGGATGGCCCGCCTGAGGCTGCCCGGCCAGGGGGCGTCCTCTTGGTGATGGATAGGAGAAGGCCAAGGGGGGATCATCTCAAACACGGGGGTCTGCAGGACCCAGCCGAGCCCCACCGGAAGCCACCAGGAAGGAGGAGGGTGGGGCAGCCACCTCAGGGAGGCAGGGGCCTGGATTCCACTCTGAGAACCTGTGGTCACTCGAGAGTCTGGTCAGGGACCCGAAGGACTAGGGTACAGGCAGAAGGGACCAAGTCCCCAGGGAAGGGGAGGGGCAGGGCACTAGAGCCTCCGGGGCCACCCACCAGGCGTGCGGTGGGGTAGTGGGGAGTCAGCCTGGAATGTTCCCTTGTTGCTCTTTAGAAATGGTCCAACCCCAGGGAGAGCGGGGCTGGGTGGGTTTTGAACCTCTGACCACAAGCCCCCGGGAAGCCATAGTCCTCTGTGAGCTGGGCATGGGCTGCAGTCATCTGGGGAACTTCCTTTGCTAACAGGGAGTCCACAGGCCAACGGAGCCAGAAGGGGACTTGCAGACCACCCAGCCACCTGCCCAGCTCCCCCCACACTTGAGCAAAACGAGCCCCAGCAGTGGGGAGACTCCACTGCATGGTGGGCTGGGGCCAGGGAGGGACCAGCACCTGCTTTCTCCAGGCCCACAGCACACAGCTGCTCTTGTCAGGAAGCGGACACCCCAAGGCTGACCATCTGGGGACATTCCCCAAAACAGACACCTACAGCGTGCAGACTCTGAATCACGTCCAGGAGCCGGCGAAGGGCACGGCTCTGCCCCAGGAGGCACCGTGCCTGTGGCATGGAGGGGAGGTCTCCACCTGTCCCTTGGGAGTTTGTGCCTTACGTATCTTAATGAAGGAATCAATTCCTGCCTCAATGTCACAAAGAGGAGTGCCAATATTTTCTCCTGAGTTCTTTTTAAAATTCTGCCTTTTATAGTAAGATTTGAATTCACCTGAGGTGAGAGGGAAGGATGTCATGGGGACTGGCCGTTAAGACGCCAGCCCTCACTCGCTGCCGTGACACCTCTGTCGCCTCCCACCCCAGACCTCGGCCAGTAACGTCTCCCACGTCGGCCCGAGCTCATCCTCGTGCAAGCCACCACACTGCGGTTCTTTTAGTTTATGATCTATTTTGATATCCATCAGGTGGACATATCGGGGAAACGCCTCTCTCACTTTGAAAACACAAAGGCAAGATTGCTCAGTACGATATCTTTGACGTTCACAGACTAACAAGCTCAGGTTTGTGGAAGTAATTCTAGGAATGGTTCAGTGACTCCAACCACCAAGGACACAGGAAACTAACAAAAACAAACAAATAAAACCCCCCAAAGAAACATTGATTTTAGACTTACCACACAATTTCTTCATTGTATATGAACTGGAAGGCAAAAGGAGCCAGGGGGGCATATTTATTCCAAATGAAAAACAACGCAGACCCCTACCCACCCAGGGCCGCCCCCTAGGGCCTGTGACCTGCTTTACAGGAAGCGGGCTCTGCTTCTCTGCCGCTCATTATAGCAGGTGACCCTTCCTCAGCTGGAACCTGGGCCAGCGGTGGGCTGTCTCATGTGGCCCAGCTTCGTGTGGCTCTCTCAGGACAAGTGGCCTGTGCTTCTCTAAAGCTTCTGGGGTTGACCTGGCAGGAGTCCCCATCATCATGCAAATAATTGCTGAAATCATGGAACTTCAAAGACCAGAATCTACTTCCACGTCTACACATATGTCTACACAGAGGGTGTGTGGGGCAGGGTGGGGCTTTAGCTAAAAAAATAGAGCGACCCCTTTGGGAATGCCAAGGGGGAGGTTCAGCTTGTGGACTTTGAAGGCAGCTGAGGGGTGACAATGGGGACAATGACACGGCTCCATGTAGAGGTTGATTTTAGGTGTTAACTGGCCTGGGTTGAGGGACGCACAGGTTGGTACCATATTATTTCTAGGTAGGCCTGTGAGGGTGTTCTCTTCTTTCTGGAAGAGACCGGCCTTGGAGTTAGTGGACTGAGTCAGGAAGGGCCACTCTCACCCAACATGGCGGGCACCACTTAATCAGCCGAGGACTGGAGAGAACAGAAGGCAGAAGGGGGTAAATCTGCACTCGTCTGCTCACCTCACCCCTCCCTCTCTCAGAGCTGGGGTACCCTTCTCCTTCCTCTAGGGACCAGAACTCCAGTTTCTCTGGGATTTTGGACTCCAGGACTCGCAGTAGTGGCCCCCTAGATTCTCAGGCTGTTGGTCTAGGGTGAGCCACCCACCTGGGCCTCTCGCTTACAGGTGGCCTATCGTGGACCGTCTCGACCTCTGTAACCACCTGAGCTAATAGCCTAATTAACCTGCTCATCCACCCACCCACCCATTTCCTTGTCTCCTATCCATTATGCTCCCTGGAAAACCCAGATTAATACACCCAACCATGCCCTCCCCACCCAGAGTCCCTGGCACAAGTGAATACTGCTTCTGCAGTGGGAGGGGGTGCTCCTGCGACCCCCCAGCATGGCCCCGTGTGGAGAGGAAGTGGATGGGCTGCTCCCTCAAATCTGATCTTGGGGACACCCTACATATGGTGGCAGGAGAGGCTGGAGGCTGTTGCCTGGACTTGGGCCCACTGTACTACCTCTCCCCGCCATCACGGTGGGCAGCACCCACAGGACCAGCTTCAGGAAGCCATTTCTGAGGAGGTCACCCCAGCCAGGCACAATCCCGAGCCTTCTGAACTCGAGGCGCTGAGGAAAGGGCCCTCAACAGAAAGGGAGGATGGGACTATGTCCCGGGGAGTCTGGGGACATTACAGGAACCTTCTTCGTCTTTCCAACCTGGAGGAGGGCTACTGGCATGCAGGGGCAGTGGAGGTCAGGGAGGACAGGGAGGACAGGGGCATGAACCATGGGATACAGGTCTACGGGGTCAAGCTGTCCCTATTTGGCACGTCTGAAATGTCCTGATGGATGTTCTAGCAACTGGAAAAAAAAAAAAAAACCAGGGACCTGAGCCTTGAGCTTATAAATCTTGAGTTTTACTGATCAAAGTCATTTTCAATGGTTTTAGTAAATACTTAACTTGCTGGTAAGTTCAATGTCCTGGGAACCGAAGGGCGCTGTTCAGAACTTGTGGGGAACCATCCCTTGTTTGGGGAACACACGGTGATACTGGTGGCCCCTTCAGCCTGCCACTGTCATTGAAGGGCCCAGAGCTGCTCTGTATGGGGCACCTGGCTCTTATAGAACCTTCATGCCAAAACATTTGCCTATGGGAAGCTGCATCCTTTCACAAGGAATTCCTTCTATTCTCCTTTGTGTACAGTCAGGACACTATGGAGACTATTTTTTTTTTTTTCTTAACTTGTGTGTAGGTAGATCGTTTTGCTTATCAATTTCATTTCGGGCTGTGGCAGACAGCCCCTAAGATGGCCCCAAGGATCCCACTGCTCTATATTCACGCTCCCCTTGAGCATAGGCTGGACCTGGTGGCCTCTGACCAACAGAATGTGGCAGAAGTGGTGGGGTGCCGCTTCTGAGACTGGGCTACAAGAAAACTGGGGCTTTCACGCTGGGCCTGCTGCCCTGCTCTGGGGGAAGCAGCCCGTGGGAGGCTCCGTGGGAGGCAGGCTGGTGAGGGACCCTGGCCCCCAGGCCCCAGCTAAGCCGCTCTCAGACCAGGAGATTTAAATAGTTGCTGTATTTTGTTTTTGTTTTTGTTTTAAGTTGTAGATGGTCACAATACCCTTGTTATTTATTTTTACGTGGTGCTGAGGATCGAACCCAGCGCCTCACACATGTGAGGTGAGCGCTCTACCGCTGAGCCACAACCCAGCCCTGAAAACACTTGCTGTTTTAAGCTGCTGAGTTGGGGAGAAATTTCAGAGCAATGGACAACCGATACAAGGGCCCAGCAGTGGAGTGGAGTCGGCTCTAGGTGAGGCGAGGGGCAAACTGTCGTGCCAAGCCACGTTCCTTCCCTAAGATCCAGGTGTGCCACACACCTGCCCTCCCACCACGTCAGAGCTCTGGGTGGAAACTGTCCTGCGGAGGACTTGCTCCTTGGCAGGATGCCTCGCTGTCATGTGCCATGATGTCACCAGCCTATGGAGCCAAGGGGTGCAGCCCACACAGGGAAGAGGCCACACTGGAGGCCCCAGAGAACCCTGTCTGGGCTCCTTGCCTTTTCCTCCTTCCCTCAGCTCCTACCTGTGCTCTCTGCTTTCAGGTGGCCCTCTCTCTCTTGCTCACTGGAAAATCAGAGACTCTGCTCCCTAGAACGAGGTCTGCCACAGTAGGGACAAGGGCTCAGTGGAGTGCAGGGCCTGAGTCCCCCACAGGGACCACTGGACACGTGCTCTGGCTTTCCCAAGGTCTCTCAGTAGCAGAGGGTCAGACATGAGGTTTCAGGGGAGGGAGGCACGTGGGTAGAGGTGTGAGGACAGGAAGAGGTGGCACCTGCCATCACTGGGTCAGGGACAGGCAGGCAGGGGTCTGTGTCTCTGCAGGAGCCTGACCAACCCACACCTGGGGCAGGAGGGGGACTCACCGCGATGAGCACAATGACAGACAAGGTGTAGTACACGGAGTCCCGGCACACGGCCCACCACGTCAGACGCACCACCTGCCGAGCACAGGGCCTCAGCTGCTGCTGGCTGGGGTTGGAGGCAGGGAAGAGCTTCCCAGGCCCCTCGCAGGCGCAAGCACATGCCCCGGGATCCTCCCAGGCCACCCGGCCCTCCCACATTTGGGGAGGAGACGGGAGCCAGGCCATGTGCTCAAGGGTTGGTTAACCTCCCCCTGCTCCTCAGAGGTAGCAGCATGGCCTGCCTCTCCAAGGTCAAGTCTAACGTCCCTCCAGGACTCTGAGGACACTGAATGGGGTGTCAACAGCAAGCCAGCCTCAGGCCTGCAGGAGGCCAGATAGTTCCAGAAACTTGCTCAGGGCCAGGGTTACAGGAGGCACTTCTTAAATGGTTGCAGTTGTCAAAGGAAAGCTCGGCTTTAGACTGGCCACGGTCGCTGACCCTGTGCATCCCAGGCCCCAGAGTGTTGGAGGACAGGGAACCCGGGAAGCTGACATGCTCCAAGCCACCCACCTGGCCAGCAAAGAGTCCACACACTCCAATAATACACAGGATGTTGAACACGGCGGAGCCCACGATGGTGCCCACCCCGACGTCTCCGTGGGTGATGAAGACACCTAGAGAGAAAAGAGCCCGGGCCTGGATGCGTGGCTGCTGGAGGAACAGGTCCTTCCCACCCCCCGACAGCACCTGGACGTCAGCAGGAATGGCGAACCCGATGGGTGGAGGGGCCCCGGATCAGCGACTCCGACGCTCCCCGCTTTGTGAGGGGCTTTATTGGGGTGTAATCCACAGGCCAATAGAATTTGTTGACCCGGCCCAATTAGAGAATTGTGCAGCCAAAGCCACAATCTGATTGTAGGGTCGGTTAAGCCTCCCCTAATGGGTCAACCCCATGCCCACCAGCTCCCCTAAGGCACCAACCTAATCTACCTTCTGTCCCCCGCTTCTGTCTCGGGATTGACAGATGAGAACGCGGCTCAGAGCTAACATGTGACCCCGCCGCTCTGGGCGCCAGAGCCCTGTGGACCCTGCCTCGCGGGCTGCCCGGGGTTCCTCACCAATGACCGAGGCGAACAGCTCTGGCGTAGAGCTCCCTGCAGCCATGAAGGTGGCTCCTGCCACGTCCTCGCTCAGATGGAGTTTCTGAAACAGAAGGGACCACAGGCCCTCAGAGTGGGACGCGGGGTGCTGGACGTCACGCAGGACATAGAAGCCAGGGAGCTCCAGGGACATGTGCTGGGTGAGCCTCTCCTCCCTGTGTCCAAGCATACGCCTCCATGCTCTGCCAGGCCTCAGGACACGAGCCCCTTCTCCCATCCCGCCGTCGGCTTTCTGCTCATCTCCAAGGCCCCTGGGAACTGTCCCCTGGATGAAGCTCTGGCACCCCTGAGAGCCAGCCGCCCCCTGTTAGACTCTGTTATTGAAACGTGGATTATACAGGGAGGGTCTGCGGCGCCCACGGTCACCCTCCCTGCTTCAGCCTGAGAGCGAGACTGGCCTATGTCACCTAGAATAGGGTGGGGCATGTGTGGAGCCCACCAAGAGCCCACAGTCTAGACACTGTCACAGAGGCCCTGTCCGAGAAGGTGGGGGTTGGCACCTAGGGCCCCCCACAGCCTGGTCTCACATTCAGGAGACTCGCTCTCCGTGGTGAGCCTTCCCGTCACCCCTGCTCACAGAGGCCCTGTCCCCGGGATTGAGCTGACACCAGACAAGCTGGGGCTCTCCAAGGCCCACTCTGTGTGGGGAAGCCACGCTCTGGCCGTGGAGGGTCACCCCGATGTAGAATGCAGGCCTGGGGCTTAAGTATCCCTCCCAAGGAGCCTCTGCAATTCTGGGCTCTGGGGCCACCATGCCAGCCCTGGGCCTGACACAGGCTGGAGCCACGGTGCTGACCCAAGGTGGAGGCCCAGCCACCCTGCCCCGCCAAAGAGGAGGGGTTCACAAAAAAGGCTCTGCCGCTTCCTGCTCTGTGTGACACCAAGCTGTCTAAGCTGTGCCTGGCAGCGGGGGACGTTGTGGGCAAGTGCCTGCTCCTAATAACCATGTTCCCTCCTGCCACCGTCACGGCAGCACGGCACCCCCCAGGGTCCTCCACGGGCTCAGATCCCCACTGTGACCTGCCACCTACAGGGAATGAGCAGCACTGGGCACCCTTGCCTGCCAGGTGGGACACACGCGTGGCCACCCAGGAGCCTGACATCCTACAGTAGTGGCTTCCACCAAGCTCCGGAAGAGGGTGCCCTCGGCCAACACAGATTGGGTGGCTGCAGAGCAGCATCACCATGGGACCAACACCAGCTGCTTAGAGTGACGGTCTTTACCACCAGAGTGTTCCCCAGCCTCCTCACCCTGTCACTCACATGCCACGTGTCCTCATCCCTGTCCCTCCCACGTACCTCACAGATCTTCTCTAGGGACGGAACAAAGAAGTCGTCGCACACGATGGCCAAGGCGTAGAACATGTACAGAGCCTGCCAAGGGAAGAAGATACACGGGGTCAGTGAGGGCCCCTGTCGCAGTCCAGCAGAGGCCAGGGGCAGATGGGGTCCCAGAGGAAACCCCCAGCACCCTCAACTCCTCCCTGACCCATGGAAAACTGAGGCCCAGAGGAGCCATAATGTGCAGTGAAGAGGATCAAACCAGGACTCCCCGGGCCTGTGCATCTTCTCTTGGGATGCTGTTCCTGGTTCCTGGCACACAGCCCCTAAAGCCCTGGGTCTGTGGTGTCTTTTGTGGGCTAATGACATGACTGGTGGCAGGGCCCCTCGATAGCTTCTCCGTGGGGGGATGGATTAGAGGTTAGGGACCTTCACGTCCTCCCCCCTAACTTGGGGGCCAAGGCTGATGTAATCAATCTTGCCTATGTAAGGAAGCTTCCAAAAACCCCAAACGACAGGGTCCCAAGAGCTTCAGGACAGCGGGACACCTGGAGGTGCCTGGAGGGTGGTGCACCCAGGAGATGGCGGAAGCTCCTCTTCCCCACCCCCTCCCTGCGTCTCTCCATCTGGATCTTCGGACAAGCCTTCATCCGCGGACAAGCCTTCATCACACAGGCAAAGCGTTCCCCTGAGTCCTATGAGTTGCTCCTGCAAATTACTGAATCTCGGGAAGATGCGGGAGCCCTGTTTCTAGCATTGATCAGAAGTCCCCAGGGACTGACAGGCGTCAGAAGGAGGACACTCTGGTTGCCGAGCCCCTGACCTGTGGGTCTGACGCCACCCCCGGGTGGACAGCATTGGGACTGAGTCAAACTATGGAATACCAGCCGGTGTCTGCTGCTAGGTGTGTGGGATCCCCTGGGGCTCCCCGCCCAACGCACATTTTGGTGACCAGAGAAGAAGGACAGCGTGCACACTGGGACAGCAGGAGACACACTTTGCTTGTCCAACCCAGACGCCTCTTCGGAAAGAAGCAGGTCTCTCCTAGCAGCAGAGGCTGCCCTCGGAGGCAAGACAGAACCAAGGAGGAGAGCGGAACATGCCAATACGCCTGGCCTGCAAGCAGTGTCCTTGCTACTGACTGTCCTCCCTCTGCCAAGAAAAAGGGGGACTCTGGTCACCCTATGAGCCAGCGTTTCCTGGGTCCTGCTGGCCTCTGCACACATGGAAACCCACGGTCCATTTGCCTGGGGAGGTTGACGGCACCCAAGAGCCCTGGTCCTAACACTGGTTCTGGGACTTCTGAGCCAGATGACTTTGGGCAGGTCATGGTCCTGGGTCTCCACTTCTTCTCTGTTTAACGATGACGCATGAGCAGATCAGTGGTTTTCAAGTGGTGGTCCAGCTGGGCCCTTTCCCTGCCCATCTATCCAGCATCCAGCAGGGCCTACCTGGGCTCATCCTGCGTGCCAGGTGTGGGTGCCCGCAGCAGGGATTTGGTGACAGAGCACCAGGCAAAGCCTCTGCTGCTTGTGACCACCTTACAGCCAGTGCAGAGCCCTGAGGCGACAGGGTGCTTGACAGACCAGCAAGGTCAAGGTGGGGGCAGAAGAGAGTGAGGAAGGGGAAATGGAGGAGGGGAGAGGCAAGGCCCGGGGCCCTGGGAGAGGAGGAGCTGCTGCCCTCTTCTGGGCAGGGATGTCCTGTCTGCAGAAAGAGGAGCCAGGATGCTCCCGCCCACACAGCCCAACACCCGAGGACCTCACAACTCATCTGATGAAATAAAGTGGAAGAGACACTATCTAAGGCCACAGCGCCCCAGGCAGGTCTGTCTACTGGGGTCCACAGGGGACAGTCCCTGGATGTGACTCGTCAGCTTTTGGAAAGAAGCAAAAAGAAACCAAGAGTGGGGCTGTGGACAGAGGGGAGGGCAGCAGGAGAGACCCTGCCACAGACCTCGGGAATCTGGCTCGAACTGGCACCCATGGGGCCACATGGTGTCTCTCCTATGACATCCACAGGAACAGAGGAGAAAGAAGAGCTAAGATAGTGCCACAATTTCCATTCCTTGTGCCGGGAGGGCGGGAAAACTTCTAGTACTGCAGACCCCTGGCTCCTCCGCCTGAGGTGTGCATTCCCTAAAGGAGTCTGGCAAATTCCCTCTGTAGAGGGTTAGAGGATAATGTTTTTGACTTTGTAGGTCCAAGGGTCTCTATTGCGACTCCTCGGTTCTTCAAGAGCCAAAGCAGCCCTAGAACGGGCGTGGCCATGGTCTAATAAAATGTGACTGGTAAGAACAGGCTTGGGCTGGATTTGACCCTCCAGCCAGAGTGTGGTAAGAGTCCCTGCACAATTCCTGAAGTTGTTTTGTCTTCGCTCTGTCAAGACTTCTGTGGGACAGGGCCACAGAGCTATGGGGCCAATTAGCCAAACTCACACCACCTCAGTCAAAGGAGAAATGTAGAGTCGGAGTCACCAGAAAGATAACAACTCTATTACAGAAATAATATACACGCCCGCCCCTCAATCTCTGCCTGTCATCCTCATTCTAACCCTTCATTTTCATTAGAGGTTTAGCCTATTAATTAAAGTTTCACTCACTCATTCCTCTCCGGTTGTCGCTGTCAATGTGAGAATCCCAGATTTTACTTTCTTAATTATCTCTTTTAAAAGACTAATGTCTGCCTGGGATTAAATATATAAGCAGATGGTGCTGGGCGGTTGGGCTGTGATCAGAAGGGAAATTTGCCGTGGTCGATCCAAAGTAGCAAAGCCGGCCTTGCCCTGCTTCGTCTCCCAACTCCAGTCCACAGAGTCAACAAATGGTTTCTGGGAAGGGCCAGAAAGTAAATATTTTTGGCTTTGTGGGCCACTTAGACTCAGACGCACCACAGCAGACGTGGAGAGCACAGAAATGAATGGGAGTGCTGTGTTCCAATAAAACTTTATTTACAACAACAGGCAGTGAGACACGCATGGCTGGGCCTGGAGTTCGCCTGCCCCATTACGGAGGCAGCATCTATGATGTCAGTTTGAACCCATTATTCCCTTTTTGATTTGCTATTTGAACTTCACCACGTGTTATCAGGGCCCATCTGCACATGGAGGGAAGTTTGAGAGGAAGTGCAAGGGTTTCAACTGTAGGTAAGTAAAGGTGGGCAAATTGTCTGGGGCGGGGTTGTACGGAAGACCTCTATGTCGTGCAGTGGTTGACACCCTTGACCTGTATTTATTGGCTCATGGTTACACATCAGGAAGAGGTGCTGTCATGCACCATTAAAAAAGCAGAGAGCAGACAGGACTGAACCACTTCCTGTGTGGCTCGGGGCAACGACACTGAGTGAGTCACCGAGCACATTGGAGATATTACCTCTCAGTGGGCAAAATGGTTTTTGGCATCTGTTTTTTTCTCGGGGCTGTGGCAAGGACTGAATGGAATCTCTCAGGGGCTGTGGCTTGGCCACCCCGTGCAGACAGGTTTTAGGTGTGTGACATCATGCCCGCAAGGACCACTTACACCGAGGATGTGCAGCAGGACAGCTCCGTGCTGTCGCTCCTTATTGGAGAACAGGTCTGTGGGGAACTCGTGGATGGCTGGAAGACAAGAGGGGATGACAGAGGGTTAGGAATCAGTGGGCCCCCAAACCTCACTTGAGACCTGGGAGTCCAACAAGGAATTATGGAGTCCACTGGCTTCGGGCTGACGAGCAAGAAGGTCAGCTATTTCTCAGCCCAGGGCAGACGAGTGTTCTTAGGAAAAGGTGCTGGAGACTAGATTATACCCAGCTACTCTAGCACCTTAGAATCCATCATGTTTTAGATATTTTGAAAAACTATACAAAATACTTTATACTCACCAAGATGGCTACAGTCCAAAAGACAGAACAAATGTTGGCCATAAGGAGATATCAGAACCCTCATACCATGTTGGAGGGAAGGTGACACAGAGTGGCTTTGGGAGTTCATCAAAAGGTGGCAGTGACCACAGGACCTAGTAATTCCATTCCCAAGTGTACATCTTAGATAAATGCAACGCCTGCCCACAAACTTGTGCACAAATGCCCATAGTTGTATTCATAAGAGCGAAAATATGGAAACAATCTGAGGCAAATGCACCATCCCCTCCCAAGCAGCCCTGAGCCACTCATCAGCCTCTGGATGCCCTGGGAATGGAGACTGATCCCTTCTCATCTTCCCACCACCTGAGATGACCAATGGGTGAGCACTCTCACAAACACATGCTAAAAGGACAACTCCCAGACCCCCTCCAGTTCTTATCACACAGATAGACTAGAAACTTCTGAAAGACAGTGACCCTCACTGCCCAGTTCGCCACCGTGTCCTCAGTGCCCAGGCCAGGCCTGGCACATGGGTTCTTAATAGACCTTAACAATCAATTAAATAAGCAACGGCAAAATATTAACCAAAATGACAATCTATGTTGTTTTATCCTGTGACAATGCTGTTAACCTTGCCAGCCCTCCAGGTACCGGGAGTGACAATAGGCTCATAGTAGACACTCAATTAATGCTTGCTAGATGCGTGCTAACTGGACGTCCAGGACAGAAATCCCTTCTCTGTAAATGTCATTTGCCATAAGCTTTGACAATGATGGTTTCTGCCTCATATGGAAACTTTCCTGATTTGAACATCAGATTCTACCAACAACAAAGAACAGCTCCCCAAACACCTAGAAAAGAATGGATTCTTTCATCCCTCCCTCCCTCCCTCCCTCTCTCTCTGTAATCCAACTCCCTTAATACAGTTGCTGCTGCCAGTTCAAGGGCATGGATCTGCTGCAAGGGATTTTCTGCCTGGAGATGAGAATTACTAAGGGAGATATTCGGCCGTCTCGCTGCCGGGGTCTTATTTCCAGGATGAATGGAGCTGTCCGGGATGGTTCAGTGCAGATCAATAGACATTTCTGACATGAGAATTTGAGGCATTTCCCGACTCTGCAAACCAGTGTTTTGAGAGCTGGAGATTTATCCAATCCTGACACGTCTCTGAGAATCAAAATAAAGTCACGCTGCTGAGGACACATCACCTGGCCTCCAGCAGGGAGGGGATGTGGGTTATAAGTGGCTTTGCCCTTGGTGGGATCAGACTCCTTGCTCACTCTCCCGCCTTGCTCAGCTCCCCTGATGTACGCTGGAGGGCCACAGAGGTGTCCTGACATTGACATCAAGGGCAGCAGGTATGGCACCCTCAGACATACTGCCATTCTCAGTGCCCACCTGAGTCTTCTGATATACCCTGAACCCAGAGGGCTGGCACTACGGCCTTATGCATGCCTGTTTTGGGGTGAGGCTCAGAGAGGGACGTGACCAGCTCAGGGAACCCAGCCACACAGGTCAAGACTGGGAATTATGGTGCATTGTGGATTGGAGGCTGGCTTGGCCACCCATAGACTTAAAATGGCCTGGTCATTTCTCCAGTCCGTCCCGCTGCTCCTTACTGGGTGTGGCATGCCCTAACCCTGATGTCCAAGACTGCAGCCCACAGAGAACTGCTCCCCACTCCCAGCCAGTGGCTGGTAGCTGGGACCGATTCTCTCCTCTCTTTAGGACTTGAATCCTCCAGCAGCTGGCCAGGTGGCAGGGGATCCCTGTCCCTCCCACCTTGGCCACCAAGAGCAATAACTTCGGACTGCAAATATGTTGTATGTTAGGTACACCTGTCGTTTGCAGACAGAATTAGGTTTTGGGAAGTGCTTCTGCCCCCTTAGACCTGCGTGACCTTGGCAATCTGCTAAACCCCAGGGCCATACCCTCTAGGAGCCAGGATCACAGCAGACCCTGGTGTCCTGAGGACTCCGTGCAATGGCTCTGAGGATCGTTATGGGATCGCCGCTGACCCCATGGCTCTAGAGGACACAACTTTGTTGTACAATAACAATAGAGAAATCAGAAGTGGCCCGGAGGGGAGAGGACGGCAGGAGAGCAGAGGATGGGAGAACAGATTCCACAGCTGCAGAGGAGCCACGTGGCCCGGGGTTCCCAAGGAGACCTTCCTCCTCCTCCCCTGCTCCCAGGACTGGAAGCCCCATCCAGGTCTGAGAGGGGTGGATTCTGTCCCTGCTGCTCAAATCGCCCCCCCCAGGAGAGAGGAATGAGCGGGGCACACACATGGCTTTTGAGGTCACACACATGGCTTTTGAGGTCGTGCCTAAGCCTTTAAGCTGCAGGAATCCAGGGGCGTGGGGACGGGGAAGGCAGAGATTTGTCTGCAGGTGGAACCGAGCTGGGGAACTCAGGGACACAGGGATGATCCCAGGCTCTGGGAGGGAGGGGGAGGGAGGGGACAGGAGGCAAGGCAGCTGCTCCCTACCCCCCTGTTAAGGTTCTTGCCTTTGCACCTTGGTACCCAGAGTGACTTCTCTTCCTTCTTGGCCTTGGACACGCCCAGGTGTCCTTGCAGGCCAGATGTGTGCCTCCCTCCACATGACGGGCCTGGACTGTGCGCAGCACCCAGGGCACTGCAGGCAGGTGGCTCCTGCCAGCTGCCCTCCCCACATCAGAGGGGAGCCCTAAGGGCCCGGGACAGAAGCATCTCCAGTGCCCCCAGCACCCTGCACACGTGCACTCAGGTCCTCAAGGCACACCTGAGCTTTCTTCACTCACAAAAGCTGCCCACGTGAGGCTCTGAACCGCCCCTGCGAGGCTCTGCACCTCTGCCGACATCGCTGCTAGTTGTCAAGTACGAATTATCCAACTGATGTTTACAGACCCCCCTGCCCCCGAGACTGTGTACCCCGAGCCTCCCTGAGCACGTGGCTTCATCTCAAAGGTGATCTGACTCTCAGAGGGCACCAAAGCTGCTCCAAAGGCAGGAGGTCATCAGGATGGAAGCTACCTGGATCCTGAAAGGGTGGGGTCAGTATGTGTTTCTTGAGCATCTGCTATGCACCAGGCACCAGGTGAGTGCCGTTTCCCAGATGTGGCCTTACTATATGCTTGGCCTGGTGCAGATGGACAAGTAATAAAGGACAGACAGAGTAGGAAGCTTTTCATGATGGCGAGGAGTGGACAGGGCCAGCAGTCACTGACCAGGGGAGGTGAGGACATGCAGGGAGCCGGTAAATACAGTGGCACCCATGTCCAGTTCCAAAGGTTGCATTTCTAACTTTTCCAAGCCCCTCGGTCTCTCAGGCGATCCCGAGAAGCTCGTTGTCCCTACTTTACTGATGAGGACACAGAGGCCCTGAAAGCCTCAAGTATTCCCTAGAGTCACGCAACCAGGCGGCACAGGCTCTTCCCAGTGAGCATCTTACTATCACAGGTGCGTGTCTCGGGGCCAGTCTCTTTACCAAGGGGCTCAGGCCCTGGAAGCTCTGAGGCCATGGCCAGCAGCCAAGTTCCTAGAGGGAGGAATCAGCTCAGTTCTGCCCACAGCCCGGGACCCACTCCGACAGGTCAAGACACCTGTCACTCACCTTCCTTCATCTCCTTGAAACATTCAACAGAACAAACCACTTCTTGTTCACATATTAATGAATGCACATACGAATGGACAAAAGGACCTGTGGACTGTCCATCTGTCCATCCATATTACATCCATATTACATTTACATACAGTAAAACTCGCTCCTCAGGCTGCAGCTCTACGGGCTGTGAGAACCGCATGGACCTTCACATCCGCCGCCACACCCCCAGGACCCTCCATCCCCCCAAACTCCCTGTGCTGACTTTTTTAGTCACCCCCTCCTGCTCCCCAACCCTGGCCACCAGTGATGTCTGCATTCTCTACTTTGCCTTTTCCAGAATGTCCTATGGATGGAATCGTGTCACGCGCAGCCTTTCTGGTCGCATCTTATACGTAGCAAGATGCCTGGACGTCCACCCGCGTCCTGTGAGCCCACCTCGCCAAGCGTTCCTGCTTGGCTTCCGGGACCCTCCACTCCTCCTTGCCTCAGTCTCCTGTAGGCTCCCCTGCATGCTGGTGTTCCTGGGGCCTTGTCCCCAGCCCTCTTCTCCCTCTTCTCGGCTCTGACCTTTAGTCTCCACAGGCATCTCTCAAACTTTGGTCTTTGCAGAGCTCAAGACCTAATCTCCCCGGCGGCTGCTGGACACCCTTCCTTGGCATCCTGACACCCGAAGCCCAGCCCCAGGGAGTGGCCCACCAGCCATCTCAGGGTGCAGGAGGGAAATGGGGGAGCTGTCGCTGAAGCCTACTCCTTCCTCACAGCTCATGATGGGGGGACGGCCACCCAGCGCTCAAGGTCCATTCCCACTTTCTCGTGTGAACCTGCCAAGGGGACATAGCTACGGGGTCGGGCTGGGTGCTTCACGGTCACACGTGCTCAGGCCTGTGTCCTGCTCTGAGGAGCCTCAGCTCCCTGGCAGCCCTGGCCCTGTTGACCCAGGAGACTCTGGGGACAGGAAAGAGGCAGCGCGCTCTTCTTGCTCAGTTGGTCCTGGAGACCAGGGCTATGGAGAGGGCCACGAAGCTCTGCCGGCAGGACCACCCGCTCCCTTGGTCGGCGCAGAATGTTTTTAACTTGATCATTCCATTGCCCGCCTGTCCGAGTCCATGTGGCTGCTATAACAAAACAGGCCACCCTGGGGGGATCAGGAACAATGGAAATTGATTTC